TGACCCTAATTGCTCTCCATATACTGTGACAGCACACTCCTCCTTTCCACCCGATTTCTCGTATCTATTCAAGCAGCTCCTGACCCTCTCTGCCTTCTCATTTCACCTCCAGACAGAAGCTGCCCATTTAGCTAAGAAGCACACTCTTCATGAGTATTATTTTATGTCCCACAGTCCAGTCCAATCTTTGTCTGAAGAGTCAGCCTTGGGAATTATTTTAGTTCTGGGTTGACAGAGAGTCTGGCGGCCACGCCTTCTAGGGTTCCTCCAGTCTCAGTCAGACCATTAAGTCTGGTCTTTTTACTAGAATTTGAGTTCTGCACCCCACCTTTCTCCTGCTCCATCCAGGAGTCTCTGTTGTGTTCCCTGTCAAGGTGGCCATTGGAGGTAGCCGGGCACCATCCAGTTCTTCTGGTCTCAGGCTGATGAAGCCTCTGGTCTATGTAGCCCTTTCTGTCTCTTAGGCTAATACTTGCCTTGTGTCTTTGGTGTTCTTCATCCTCCTTTACTCCAGGTGGTTGGGACCAATTGATGCATCTTAGATGGCCACTTGCTAGCTTTTAAGACCCCAGATGCCACTCACCAAAGTAGTATGCAGAACATTTGCTTAATAAACTTTGTTACGCCAATTGACCTAGATGTCCCCAGACCCCTGCCCCTGCTACTCTGTCCGTCGAAGTGTTTGACTGTATTCAGGAAACTTCTTAGCTTTGGTTTAGTGCCATTGTGCTGACTTCCCCTGTAGTGTGTGCTGCCAGATCATTTCTTAACAAAACATTGCCATTCTAAATATTTGTATTCATATTTCAATTTTAAAGTTTTCACTACAGTTCTCCTTACATTTTCTTAGCTGGCACAGTAACTTCTTAGCGGCCAACATAGTGTAATATGAATTTTCATAAGGTACTATCATAGCTATTATGCTTACTAGAGTTTTGGATCCTAAATAAGACTTTAATTGTTGATGGAGTGTGAACACTCAGGCAACTTAGCACCCAGTCAATTTTCGATCAGTAGGAAAACTCAGGGTAGCTGATTCTCTTCTACCATGATCACTTAAAACCCATTTCTGGTATGACTAACCCCTTTTGGTGTTATAAGGACTGCATAAGTCTGTTTCTGAAAGAACAAAGTAATTGATGGAGATTTTGGAAATAATATAATTAGTTTACTGAACATGAACAACCAAACACAAGAAGTCAACCTCTTGTCTTCCCTTCCAACCCCTCCAAAAGCAAAAGAAAAATAGCTGACAGCCATGCAGTCCCTTCCTATGCATGTAACACTCTGCAAGTCAACTGTGTGAAAAATCAATAAGGGTTGGAGCTGGGACCATGTCCATTGCCAGAATGCCCAAATCCTCATTATACCTCTCCCTTTAGACATATTTCCAACATTTGTACATGTTCTTTTCTTCACAGCAGGATGCCAGATAACCAGTTTAAGTCCAAAGAGCACGCACTAAAAACAAAGATTGGTAACTTTTGCCATGCCCTATGATTTTCATCTTTTTTAATCAGAGGTCACACATTGTGACTCAGGATATTTTTAGCAGGGTGTTTAAAAGATTTTTGAACTTGAATGCCCCTAAGTGCTGTGCTTTCTGTTTCAGTTGTTAGCTGCCTGGGCCTCGAAGGTTTTTGTGTTTGCTCTGCTAGAAATTATTTCAAGCCTATGAGACTTATGCTTACAGTTAATGCTAGAAGCACTTTCATTTTCCATTTTTCACTCAGTGGGTTAAAAAAAAAAGACTAAAAATGCGAAGAAATACTGAATATCTTCATAAATGTGGCTATTTACAGATTCTATGCTGTAAAACTGGACTGCTGCTTGATAGGGAGACTACTGATGAAAACTCAGATTTTTTTTAAAATTTTTTATTAGCTGGAGTTTGAAAGTTTAAATTTGAAATGCTAAGATTGGGCTCAATTTATATTGAACACAGTACAAGCTGCTGGAAATTCAAATGTCTCAAAGTTGAGGATCACCTACTGATTGGTTAACTGTGATGATTATTTGGGTTTGAATTTCGGTTCAGTCTTGCTCTTTGATTTGGAGACAGCTTAGAGCCCTGCTCAGTTTTCCATTAAGGGAGAGGGTGGAAGTTATTGCCTCTTGAATTCTAGCCTTGTAAGAGAAACTTCAAGGACCATAAACTCCATGAGCTTGAGGAGTGTTCCTTGTAGTTGCGAATATGGTGATCTGGTGCCCAATACCTCCTCAGGAAGCCAACTTGGCTTAGGTAGCAACTTGCCTCAGCAGCAGGTCAAAGGTATGTGAGTCCTCATAACTGGATGTGGAACCCTCTAGGAATGTTGATCTGGAACATTTTACAAGGGTTCCTGCCTACGACAGTAGTTTGCCAAGGTCAGGAGACCCTCAGTTGTAAGTACTACTGTGATAAAAGGTGAAGTGAAGAGTGGCCAGCAAAGAGGACTTAAGAGTTGGAGGAGCTTAGTGAGGGAGCCTCTGTATGACTCATAGAAAGAAAAGAATCAGTTTTGAATATCTGTTAGCGCCGGAACCAAAAAAACCAAACCCGTTGCTGTCGAACTGATTCCAACTCACAGGGACTCTATAAGACAGAGTAGAACTGTCCTATAGGGCTTCCAAGGAGTGGCTGGTAGATTCAAACTGCCAGGCTTTTTGGTTAACAGCTGAGCTCTTAACCACTGCACCATCAAGTCTCCTTGTTAGTACAAGAGGTTACAAATCAAGTAAGAACTTCTGCTTCCTCCTTGCCTTTCCTCTACTCCCCCCACCTCTCTAACTCCATACCAACCCTTTAGAAAGCTGGAGTGGAGGTGACAGGGATGGAAAATAGCCAACCACACCTTCCCTACCTAAATGGAGCCATTTGCAGCCAGCCTAGCTGGATAAAAGATACACCTATTTACAAAAGATATACCTCTTTTGTGAATAAAGATTGAAAGCTGATTAGTATATTCTCCTGGGTATTCTCACTTTTTTTGTTGTTATTTTATTTTGTTTTTAAATAATATTTTATTGTGTTTTTGGTGAAAGTTCACACAGCAAGTTAGGTTCCCATTTGACAATGTCTATACAAATTGTTCAGTGACATTAGTTACATTTTTCACAATGTGTCAACATTCTCTTAATTGCTTTCTGGTTGTTCTGTCTCCAGTACTCTAGTTTCCCTAACCTCTTATTTCTCATCTTTGCTTTAGAATAATTGTTGATCTTTTGGTCTCACATAGATAGTTTTTTAATGGAGCACCGTACTCACAGGTAATACCCTTTATTTTGTGTACTAATCTGTTATTTCATTAAAAAGTGACCTCAGGGGATAGTTTCAGTTCAAGGTTTAAAGAGCATCTCTGGGCAATAGTCTCAGGGAGTCCTCTACTCTCAAATGTTCCAGTAAGTTGGGAAGTTTTAAGAATTTGAGTTCTGTTCTGCGTTTTTCTCCTTTTCTATCAGGGTCTATCTATCGTGGCCCTGATAGAATGGTCGGTAGTGGTAGCTGGGCACCATCTACTTCTTGTGGTCTTAGGGTAGATGAGGCCGTGGCTTGTGTAAGCTATCAGCCTTGTAGACAAGTTTCTTCTCTGAGACTTTGGTTTCTTTCTTTCTCTTTTGCTTCTAAATAGTAGATACCAATGGTTGTATCTTAGATGGCAGCTCACAAGCTTTTAGGAACCCAGACGCTACTCACCTCACTAGGATGTAGAACATGAACTTTGTGAACTATATTATGCCAATTGACTGAGTTGTCCCATAAGAGTAAGGTCCTAAGCCTTCAAAACCAGAAAACAGATCTCACAAGGTGTTTGGTTATGTCTGAGTATCTGTAACTGTGTCCTCTATGAGTATATACGTGTGCACACACATACTTGTACTTACACATACATATAAATACTACCAGAAGAATCAATAAATCTGTCTTGGAAGAAGAACAGACAGAATGCCCCTTAGAAGCAAGGATGGCAAGATGTTGTCTCATGTACTTTGGACATGTTATCAGGAGGAACTAGTCCCTGGAGAAGGACATCATGCTTGGTAGAGAGTCAGTGAAAAAGAGGAAGACCCTCAACGAAATGGATTAACACAGTGGCTGCAACAATGAGCTCAAACATAGCAATGATTGTGAGGATGGCAGAGGACCTGGCAGTGTTTCATTCTGTTGTATATAAGGTCACTGTGAGTTGAAACCGACTCGATGGCACCTAACAACAATCTGTGCACACATATGTATACACCTGTACCTACCCATACACATATAGGCCTATACACATACATATGTGACCAAACACTAGTTTATTGGTTATTACTGCTGTTGTTGCAAAACTATATGTTATGTTCTTTAGCACAAACATCCTTTTCCTCTTGTATGCTTTTTAGTGGCATTGTTTACTTTGTTTAAGCTGTGCTCTTTAAACCCACATTTGGTGCTACTTTCTGGGCATTCTGATTTTTGAACTGGGACACAATTATGACTTAAATGGACCATAAGGTTTTGTATTACCTAAGGAAATGAGAAAAACCATCTGATTGCCCAAATTTTCTTTCAGGAGCTTGGAAGAAATAGCTCCCACTAAGAAGTTTCAAAAGGACATTAGAGACAAAAGTAAAATTTACAGTCTGGTTACAGCCCACAAACGGTGCTTATTCAATATACTAGTTACAGACATAGTATTAGCCTCTTACCTAAATTTAAGCTAGGAGTATAGAAAAATATTGATACTTTTTAAAGACTAGGTCTATTACAAACATGAAATTACGAATAGCAATTTAATTAACAAGGCGCCCTGGTGATGCAGTGGTTGAGCACTCAGTTGCTAACTAAAAGGTCAGCGGTTCAAACCCACCAGCTGGTCCATGGAAGAAAGATGTGATAATCTGCTTCTGTAAAAACTTACAGCCTTGGAAACCCTATGGAGAAAACTACCCTGTCCTATAGGGTGGCTATGAGTCAGAATGGATGCAATGACAATGTGTTTAATTTAATTCAACAGTCATTTAAAGATAAAATGCATTACCTTGTTATGATGAAGCCATAAATATTTTAGTTTTCTAAACCTAGAAAGATCAATTACTTCTGTGAGTTCCCTGGAAAGAAAAGATAAAGTGAATATTAGTAACTATTAATTCACTCCTGTGTCAGACTAATCAGATAGGTGGTATGATTCGGCAGTAACTAGAAGTACCTCTCTCACTGTCCTTCAAAAAATTTTGACCCACTTCTCTGCTAATTCTGAGATGCATCATTAACTTAATTCATTTGGATTAAGATTTTGTTGGTAAGTTAAAGCCAATATTTAAAAGAGAGCATTTTATCAACATTAGCAGAAATTTATATCTCATTATGAATTTATTGGGGAGAGGGCAGAGGAAAAGTAAGCACAGAAGATACTGGACTTTGAAATTAAATGTGCAAAACACAACTAGCACCTGCTGGAACATTTTCTGCCGGGGTCTTATTTTGAGGTTGATCCCCATCTTGGTCAGGCTGAACAGAAACTGCAGGACACCAAGCATCACAGTCCAAGTAAAGGGTTTTATTCTCTCTTTATTTTTTATTAATTATAGCATCAATATATTACCCACCCTTCTTGAACTGTCTGGGACTCTAGCTGTCCAAGTGGTCCTGGGAGTCAGAACTGGTGCAGATCACCCAGCAGAGGGGCAGACAGAGGGCAAGTTAGGGCAGGTAGCTGTCAGAAACACACAGGTAGATACACACTGAGGACAGGTGGACATTTGGCCCATGTGCACTGGAGCATTCAGATCTCTTATTTCTCTCTTCAGCGCAGAAATTGTGGGGCCCAGGCATGTATACATACACAGATCTATTTATTTATCAAGTGTGCTGGGCACTTTTCTAAGCATTTTAATTAATGTTAATTAATATTACATGTATTAACTCATTTATGGTAATATCCACTCACAATTATTTTTAACCTTGGGATACAGAAGGACTAATATTTTCCTAATTTTTATGAAAACACATATTTTTAAAAGCATGCAAACAACATTTCTAATCAAAAGAAACATTTCTCATCAACTTTTTGTTAAAAAATTTGAAACCTAAGAAAAGCTGAAGGAATGGTACAATGAACACTTATATAACTTGCATATTTTAACACTTTGCCACATTTATGCTGGCTCTATCTGTATTATATATATATATATTTATTGATAAGTTTCTTGGTAAATAATCTGATAATAAATTGCAGACTTCTTATTGCAGGCATCTCATTCCTAAATACTCCATCATGATATTTCTCAAATCAGGACATTCTCCTGCATAACCACAATACCATTATCACACCTAAGAAAATTAAATTTAATTCAGTAACATCTAACATGCTATTCATATTCAAATTTTCTCTGTTGTCCCTACATTTCTTCTATAATTTACTGTATCTTTTTTAAAACCCAGAATCCCATCAAAATTTATATATTACATTTTCAGTTGGTATAACCCTTTAGTCTTTTAAAATTTAGAATAGTCACCCTGTATCCTTCTTTCTTCCCCTTAACATTGATATTTTGAAGCATTCAGGACAGTTGTCTGATAGAATGTCCCATGTTCTTGATTTGTCTGGCTGCTTCCTCATGATTAAATTAAAAATAGATCACTTTTCAATTACATAGATGGTGTTGTGTACTTCTATTTTTTATATAATATTTTATTGTGTTTTAGGTGAAAGTTTACACAGAAAATTAGGTTTCCACTTAACAATTTTTATACAAATTGTTCCATGCCATTGGTTACAGTTTTCACAATGTGTCGGCATTCTCATTATTTCCATTGTGTTTGTTCTGTTTCCATTAATCTAGCTTCCTTTCCCCTCCTTGCCTTCTCATCTTTGCTTTTGGGTAAATGTTGACCATTTGGTTTTACATAGTTAATTGTTTAAGGCAGTACCTTAGACATGGGTGGTATTGTTTATTTTATAAGCCAATCTATTATTTGGCTGAAAGGTCACCTGCAGAAATAGCTTCAAATCCAAGTTCAAAGCTTATCTTGAGGCAATAGTCTCGAGGGTTCCTCTAGACTCTATCGGTCCAGTAGGTCTGGCCTTTTTTAGGAATTTGAATTTTATTCTACAATTTTCTCACATTCTATCTGGGACCTTCTATCGTGTCCCTGGTAGTAGTTAGCTTCGTGAGTGGTAGCTGGGCACCATCTAGTTCTTCTGGTCTCAGGTTAGAAGAGGCTGTGATTCATGTGGGCTATTAGTCTCATGGTGCCGTGGTGGCACAGTGGTTAAGAGCTCAGCTGCTAACCAAAAGGTTGGTAGTTCAAAACCACCGCTCACTCCTTGGAAACTCTATGGGGGCAGTTCCACTCTCTCCTATAGGGTCGCTGTGAGTCGGAATTGACTCAATTACAATGGGTTTGGTTTGGTTTTTATTAGTCCTGTGGACTAGATTCTTCTTTGAGTCTTTGATTTCCTTCATTCTCTTTGGCTCCATATGAATAGAGATCAATAGTTGTATCTTAGATGGCCACTAGCAAGCTTTTAAGACCTCAGATCCTACTCACCAGTCTAGGATGTAGAACATTATCTTAGTGAACTATGTTATGCCAATTGACTAAGTTGTCCCCTGAGACTATGGTCCCAAGCCTTCTAACCCAGTAAACCAATGTCAAGAGTTGTTTGAATATGTCTGGGAAGCCTCTGTTACTGTGCCCTCTATGTGATTTGTTATTTATGTGAGTATACATGCAGCACACACAAATGTGTATATACATATGCCTACAGATACACCTATACATGCATGTGCATTTACTTGTATATGCCTTTCTATATATGTATATGCATCCATATCTACCCACATAACTGCACACATATTTTTTGGTTGTTTTTATTGTTGTTGCAAAACTGTATACGTTATAGCATTTACTGAAATTGTCCCTTTTTCTCATGTACTTCTTAGTGTTTTTATTTACCTTGGTCAAGCTGTGCTGACTTCAGCCATATTTGGTCTTATCTTTTCCATCACCTACCTAAAGTATCAAGTGTCTACTATCTAGAAAGTGATTACTCCTCCATCTCCCTCTCATCCCTGGTAACCATCAAAGAACTTTGCTTTCTGTGTATGTATCTATTCTTGATTTTTTAATAACAGTGAGACCATACAATATTTGTCTTTTTTGTGATTGACTTATTTCTCCAGACTTACCGACGTTAAAAGATGTTTCACAGACTCCTCATTATTATGTATAGTTGTGTAGTACTCCATTGTATGTAGGTACCACAGTTTAATCCATTCATATGTTGATGAGCACTTAGGTTGTCTCCACCTATTTGCTATTGTGAATAATGCAGCAATGAACATAAGTGTGGTGTACTTCTTACTGCATCACTTCAGCAAGCAAGTTCTGTCAGCTTGTCTAACTCTTGGTGAAGCGAAGTTCATTCACTTGGTTAAAGTGGTATCTGCCAGGTCTCTCCATTGTAAAAGTACAAATTTTATAATTGAAAAGTAATATGTGGGGCAAAACTCTGAAGCCACATGTATATCATGTTCCCCAACAACTATGTACTCAACAGGTTTAGCTTTGATTGACGATCCTTACACAAATCAATTACCTTATTTTTACACAAATTATGCACGCCTTCTATGTTTGTTTGCCAGCCGGGCCCTCACCTTATCAGGTATTTTCATAAGTGCGCTATGCTTATTTTTTTTACAGCAACATGTGGAAGAAGACTGTCATGGCGGCACTTGTGAGGGTGTCTTTCACGGGGGAGGGTGCGGCCAGCAAACAAGTGCAAAAGAAGCGCGTTGTTCGCGTAAAACTCGGTAATTGATTGGGGATTATAAAATAGTGATTTTCTAAAGCTCTCATTCTTTTGACACTTATTAGCTGGCATTCTTCTGTAAAGAACAACTCCTCCTTATTTCTCTCAATCTCTCTGTCTCTCTGTCTCTCTCCCACTGTCCCTCACATTTTTTCTTAATCTTTCTTTTATCACTATTTTGTTTCATTCTTAAATTATCTCAGATAGAAGGAGTCTCACAAACAGCTCCTGTGTCTTTTTGGCATGTTCCATTAATCTTTGAGTACTTCCCTGTTTTCTGGTACAACAAAATGTTCCAGACTCCCTCAAAGCAACATTTAACAGGAGATTTGCACACAGTTCTTTCTCCTCTCTCACTGTAGATATGTAGCTTATTTCTGAGAAGGAGCACTTGGACCTTGGTACATTTTAACTTGCCATGGGCAATAATGACTGTTAGTTTTAGCTATTCTCATGATAAAAATTGTCATTACATGGTAGTATCAGAGGACCTCAGGCCCCATTTAGGGGGTTTCCCCAAGGATTGCCCATGAAACTTATTTTAATACTGTAGTGGGTTGAATTGTATCCCCCCAAAAGATGTTAGAGTCCTAACTCCCCAGTACCTATGAATGTGACCTTATTTGGAAGTAGGGTCTTTGCAGATGTAATTAAGTTAAGGATTGTATGCTCTGTCTGTCTATCTGCATTGCCTCAAACTTTCAGCCAGACATAAGACTGCTAGGAATGAGGAATGTACACCCACTGACATCAACCATTCCACGGGTGCTACTTTCATCTGTAATCAAGCTGGACGCCTAAGACTTTTACACAGTGTTGGCAAAGTGAAAGCTGTTATTATTAACAATTCAGAATTCCTTGCCTATTTACCCTTTTATTCTCTAAAACCCCATGCTTTCCAGGAGTTGTCGCATGGGATCCTACTTTTGCAGACCTCAGCTGCTGCATACAGCCCTTTCTCTCGCTCTGGGCTAAGTCAGCAGGTGCCGGCCACAAACAAGGGAGTCTGTACAATCTCCCCCCACTCCAGCCTCAAGCTAGGGAGTCTGTACAATCTCCCCCCACTCCAGCCTCAAGCTAGGGAGTCTGTACAATCTCCCCCCACTCCAGCCTCAAGCTAGGGAGTCTGTACAATCTCCCCCCACTCCAGCCTCAAGCTAGGGAGTCTGTACAATCTCCCCCTACTCCAGTCACAAGCTAGGGAGCCTGCACAACTCCCTCCACTCTAGACAAGAGAACCCGCTACTCCCTTAGGCTCGACTAATGACTCACCAACTCCTGTAATGAGGCTATCTTAAAGGGAGTATTGCCCTTATGCTTTCAAAATGCCATGTTCCAGCTTCGATCATACCCTGCCCGCTGCACCATTAAATATATATGTACATGTCTGTCTATCTACATTGCACGTGCAGACAGGCTGTGCTTCAAACTTTCAGGCAGCCATAAGATTGCTAGGAATGAAACGTATATCCACTGGCATCAACCATTCTGTGGGTGCTACATTTATCTCTGATCAAGCCGGACACACGAGACATTTACACAGTGTTGGTAAAGTGAAAGCCATCATCATTATTATTTATAGAAAGCACACAGTAAACAATAGCAATAGTTTCAAAGGGGAAACACTTACCCTCCCCCAAATTGCCTACGTCCATTCTATGTCACTGGACAGGCATGCTGTGGTTCAGGTCAGATGCTGCGCTCACATCACACTGCTCGGGAGGCCTGCACAGCTTCTGAAGCTTCTGCTTTGCCACAAGGCCTCTGCTGCTGGCTCCTACCATGGTACTCAGGTGTGTGGGGCTCTCTCTTGCCTGCCTTGCTACCTGGGCCACCCGGGGAGGGAGGTTGGGGGACGTGCAGCCCCTGCACGGGGCACACTCAATCCTCTCTTGCCCTGCACAATCAAGTGTTACAACTCTTTTAGCTCTGGTGGCAAGCCTCCTGCCAGAGGCATCCGGCTCCACCCAGCTGTAGGAAGACCCCTGAACAGGATCCTCTGAGGCAACCCCTGCACAGGGCAAACTCAGGCCTCTGCCCTGCACTGGCAAATGTTACAGCTCTTTTAGCTTCGCTGCAAGGCTCCTGCCTGAAGGCACTCAGCTCTTGCTCCTTGGGCCAGCAAGCCCACCATAGCCACTTTGCTCCATGGGTTGGCGAGCCCACTGCTGCTGTCTCTCACCATCTCAAGCTGTCATCAGTGTTACAATCTCTCTTCTGGGTCTAGGAGGTTCCCAGGTCCAAAAGCACACTCTCCTTCAGATTGTTCTTGATGGTAGCGAGGTCCCCTTGAACCTCTGTGAGACTGGCCTTTATATAAGCCTACTCCTTGTCAATTTCAAGGCATGGCCTTTCCAGCATGACCATGAACTGAACAATCCCGTCTGCAGACCACAAATCACTCAATTTGCATAGTAAACTGACCTATCCCTTGCAAGATTGTGGCCCAGCCAATCATTTTGGGAGAGTTAGAAGACTATGGTTAGAAAGGCCATATAAAAGCAATTCACTGCACCAGAAGGGTCTTTAGATGAAATTATCCTGGCTTTAGGATAATTCCCAAACCCAATGACTGCTATCCTTATAAAAGAAAGGAGAGGGAGATCTGGGGCATACAGACCTGGAGGGGAAGGCCATGTTAAGTCAGAGGCAGATACTGGAGTGATACATTTGCAAGCCAAGGAACATCAAGGATTGCCAATAGCCACCAGAAGCTAGGGGAGAGGCATGGAATGGATTCTCTCTCAGAGTTTCCAAAAGGAAACAACACTGTCAACAACTTGATTTCAAATTTGTGACTTTCAAATTCTCTAGAACTCTAAGAGAACACATTTCTGATGTTGTAAGTCACTGAGTTTGTAACGGAGCCTCAGGAAATGAATACAAATACATTAATACTTTAAAATATTAACTGTCAAATTACTGTCATTAATTTTCTTCTGTTAGTAATATTGGTGTTGAATTTTTAGGTATTAGCTAATGTAATAAAATGATTCACTTTTAAAGGGTAATTTAATTTTTTCTAGTTAGAAGGTTCATTCTGCTCATAAACCTGTCCTAAATCAATAATGGGCTGTTATATTTTAGGATGAGGATCATCAAAGACAATGAAAAATAATTCTATTATTAATGATGGCAATGAACTTGTGCTGACAATAATATGCCAACATTATTGTTACAGTATATGTTCTGTCATCACCGTGATTACTCAAGGAGACATTGGTTAAGATGCTTTCCATTTTTTGTCGCCAGCTGGATTAAATGCTAACTTAGTATTCTCAGGATATAAGATGTGTTTTTGTTCACACAAGAAGGTCCCAATGTTAGAGAATCAATATTTCTAATTTTGTTCTAGTATTTTAAGGCTAGTCTTATCGATATCTACTTACCTCATAATCAGTAGTGTATGGCTGTAAAAATTGGGGCAGGCTTACAGCTGCAAGCTTTTTAACCATATAATACACTTATCATTATTGTAAAATTAATCAGTCTATAGAAAGACTCAAAGCATGGCCTTAAGTGTGTCAGAATTCTGTATTGTACCTGTTCCATTCTAAACTATATATGTATATTTTAAAATATCTCAAATTGGCAAGATATTTATTTGCTTATTACCAAGAGATTCAAGGTCATCACAAAGATAAATATTTTTCTCTGTACTAATAAATTAAAAATGAATATTTACACATAACCAAAGATACGTTTATTTCTCTAAAATTCAAATTTAACTGGAGTCCTATATTTTTATTTGCTAAATCTGGCAACCCTAACAGGTTACATGACATGCCCAATGTCACCCAGCTGGAGGAGATAGAATTGGGATTCAAACTCAGCCTAACTCCATATCTTTTTTCAATCCGTTTCAATATTTTGCCTCTCCAATAGAGACTGTTGACCCCAATGAGGTGTAAATTAATTAGAATGTAGTATCTGCCTACCCAGTTCTTGAGGGAAAAAAATGGAAAAGAGCATTTGAATCTATGAAACATAAAATGATATTCCTGTATTTCTTATATCAGGTAAACTTACTTTCGAGAAAGGAACAGCTCCAAGACATCAACATCCCTCTTGTGTCCAGATATCTTTAGCTGGTCTTCAACTGCCTGATAACATATAATTAATCTGTCAAATCACATTCCAATGAGCAAAAATACTCAGTCATTTGCAGTCAATAACAATGTCTACAAGAAGATCAAAAGAAAAGTGAATACGAAGACAACCACTCTAAACTGATAAATTCCAACCCTACAATTATATATTATTTACTCATTTTTGTGGTTGAATTTCATTATCCTTAATCCTGGACACAGATGTGTAATAATTTTTAATTGGAGAGAAAAAATGTGTATGTGGATGTCTACAATAAAAACGAGTTTTTGATTATCTGTGAGGCAGGGTAATTTCACCTTTAAATAATTATTCTTAAAATTTACTTTGAACACAAAGAGTTAGTATTTGGTAGGTTTCCTCTATTTACAGAAGACACCAAGTATCGGCGTGGTAGGATATGATGAATGCTATCACAGAAGATTATTTTATGTGCTTAGCACACTGTGTCTGGCGCCCAGTAAGTTCTCAACAAATATCGGAAAAATGAACGAATGAGTGAATAAATGTCAGTTCTCTCTGAATAAGTGAATATACTATTTCCCCCTTGCTTTACAAGGAACAGCATCTTCATTTTTCCTGGGTTACTAGCATACTTGTACCATGGGAATTCTTGGTGGAGAAGAAGCAACATTTATTCCCATAGGTTCTATTTTCAAAATAAAGATTCAGTAATAGCTTTTTAAGTGCTTTGCTTTTTCTTCAGGTCCTTTGCTAAATTACAAAATAACATTTATAGGCCACATAGCCTAAAATGATATGGAAAAATTAAAGCCCATCTGTAATTTGCTATGAAGAGAGAAGAGCTAACAAGACACAACAAAAGCAAAAAGAGTAACTATTGCACTTCTGAAATTTGAGAAACATTATAATTATTAGAGTCAAAACAATCACCAAATTTCAGCCGGGATGTTGTGGGTGGTGAGGTTGTAATGTCGGTAAGTAATTTGTGAAATTTTGATCATGGTTTTGTTATTTAGAAGAGGGCTTGGTTGTTGTTAGCTGCCAATGAGTCGATTCCGACTCATGGTGACCTTATGTACAACAGAACAAAATGTCGCTTGGTCCTGCATCATCATCACAACTGCTAGCACGTTCAAGTTCATCCAAGAGGACTTTAAGAGGAGATAAAGTTTAGAGAGATGAACAAATGTCTAAAGAAGTAAGGATGATAAATATCCTAGGGATGGAGAGCAGCTGCTAACTTAAGAGTCCCAGACTTCCTCTGTTACCCTGTTAAGCAAGTAGAATCTGGGGACTTGGGGATCTCACAGGACCAGGCTTAGGCATTCCCATTAGGGTATTTTGTTATCCTGATAAGCACACTAAATCTGGGGCTTGGCAAACCTATTGCATCAAGTTTAGGCATTTGCATCTGAGTGTTTTAACTTAAACATCTAAGTGACAAAGAAAAATCAAGTCTTGATATATGCTACAATATAGACGGAGCTTAAAGACATACCAAGTGAAATAAGTCAACCACAAAAAGACAAATACTGCATGACGTCAGTTATATAAAAAGACAAGAAGAGGCAAATGTATAGAGACCAAAGTTTACTAGTGGTTACCAGGGGCAGGAGGGAAGGAGGAAGGGGGGATTATTGCTTATGGTGTACTGACTTTTGATTTACAGTGACGGAAAAATCACAGTCAGTGTAGCGTTGCACAGCCAATTAATATATTTGCTGTCAATAAGTTGTACATCTGTAAAAAGTTGAACTGGTAAAAGTTCTGTGATAGATATCTTAGTGATCTAGTGCTGCTGTAACAGAAATACCACAAATGGGTGGCTTTAACAGACAAAAGTTTATTTTCTCACAGTTCAGGAGGCTAGAAGTCTGAATTCAGGGTGTTGGCTCTAGGGGAAGGCTTTCTGTCTCTGTCAGCTCTGGAGGAAAGTCCTTGAATCTTTGAGCTTCTGCTCCTGGATAATCTTCCTGTGGTTTAGCATCTCTCTTCCCCATCCCTGCTGCTTTTGCTTGTTTAATCTCTTTTATATCTCAAAAGAGATTGATTTAAGACACACCTTACACTTATCCTCTCTTATTAACATAAAAAAGACAACCCATTTCAGAATGGGATTATAACCACAGGCACACAGGTGAAAATTTACAACACATATTTTTTGGGGACACAGTTCAATCCATAACAGACATATTTACAACAGTAACAAAAAAAAAAAAAAAGGGCAGTTGCTGAGGCTGCACGTGTACAACCAAACACCTCATGGGATTTGGTTCTTGGTTTGGGGGTTTAGGGCCACGGCTTCATGGACTATCCCAGTTAATTTGCCTAATATCGTGTTTCTGTTCTACCTCCTAGTTTGTTGTGTAGCTCCTGGGGTCTTAAAAGCTGATAAGCAGCCATCCAAGGCACATTTGGTCTCTATTCGTCTGGAGCAACAGAGGAAAAAGGAGAATCAGGAATAGGAAGAGGAAATGGAATGTGTGGCTAATTGTCTCCATGAACAACTGCCTCCTTTGTCATGACACCAGAAGAACTGGATGGTACCAGGCTATAATTACTGGACATTTTGATCAAAGATTCTACAGAAGAATGCTGATCAAAAGAGGGAAATACAGAACAGAATTTCAAATTCTCATAGAATCCAGATTTTTTGGAGCTATGGAAGCTGGATGAACCTCTGAAACTACTACCCTGAGATAATCTTTAAACCTTAAACCAAAGATATCCCCCGAGATCTCTTAAAACCAAACTAGTAAAGAACGTGTGCCTTGAGAATTGTGCTCTTCTAAGGTCTATCTGTATGGAATCAAACTGACAATAGCAACTCGAAAGATTAGATAGGAACCTTAGGAGACAATGAATTTTTTGTTAATGAAGAGGAACAATTCAGAAAAAGAGTATGAGAATGGTTGCACAACTTGAAGAATATAATCAATGTCACTGAATCATACAAGTAGAAATTGTTGAACTGGTGTATGTTCTGCTGTGTATATTCTCAACAACACCACAAATACAATAAAATAATAAAGGTTTGCTAAGAATAAAAAAAAAATCTGAATGACAGCACCTACTAGCCACAGCAAATCAAAACTTTGCAAAGTGTTTGAGATACTAAGGTCAACCAAAATAGAATTAAACTTTTGCAGCCGTCTATTAAAATTTCAAATATACTTTTAACTTGCCCTAGCCACTCCACTTCTAGGACTTGGAAGTACACAGCTTATGAATTGAATTATGTCCCCCCAAAAGATATGTTGAAGTCCTAATCCTTGTACCTGTGAACGTGACTTCGTTTGGGGAAATAGGGCTTTTCTTTTGTTGTCATTTGGGTCAGTTGAGGTCATACTGGAGTAGGGTGAGTACTAGTCCTAATTTCTTCTGAGTTGTGTCTTATAGAAAGGGAGAAACGCCATGTGATGACAGAGGCAGATGCATCTATAAGCAGCAAACGAACACCAAGAATTGCCAGCAGCCACTATAAGCTAGGAGAGAGAGAGAGCATAGCCCTGCCAATGCTCTGAATTGTAAATTTTAGCCTCCAGAACTGTGAGAAAATAAATTTGTTCTTTAAAGCCACCCATTTTGTGGTATTTTTGTTATGGCAGCATTAGGGAACTAAAACCACACACAAAAAGTAAATATCATTGCTAATCTTATTATATATTGTCTATAGTTGTGAAATATCCCCCATTAACTGCAGTTAAATTAAGGTGTAAGCTCACAATGGAGTACTTCCTGGTCCTTAAAAATATAGAGAGAGATGGATATCTAGACATATAAAGATATGTAAAACATATTTTTAAATAAAACACCAAGTGGCAGTATACTATGTGGAAAAGAAACAATATTTTTGCTAAAATATTTATAAATATTTTCTTTATCTTGCTAATTTTTTGGCTAAAATAACATTCATATGTTGATACATGCATACAAAATGCACACTCTCCTAATTGTTAACAAAATTCATCACTTGCGATCACAGGAGATGTTCACTTCTAAACAATATATAGTTCTTATGTTTGAATATTTCGTAAGTATATATTAATTTGGTAATCAGAAAGTAATACATGTCTTGAAAATTGTAGCCATGGAATAAATATTGAAGGATTTAAATCATATTTTGAAAAATAAGAGATGAAGGGGGAAATGGAAAGTATCAGCATAATATGTAAACTTCTAGTATCATTAATTATTTATTTGCACAGCTTTTTATCATGGTATGTTTCTTTCCAACCCAAAACTTCTATGAATCTGGTAACAAGCATTGATGTCAAAGTGCCAAGACAGATGAAAATGTGCCAAGAAGTTTCAAGTTTCAGTGGATCCCTGGGGGAGCCGTTCCAGTTCCCAGTAAACACACAGCTTCACCAACAGCATATCCCTTTCATCTAAAGAAGCACAACAAGCATTCTTTAAGACGAACATTTTTAAAATAGTAGAGTCAAGCAGATGTATTCAGCCATTTATTGAATTACAAACTACTTTGTACCTGGTACAGGCAACAGTCTCTGACTATCTGTTTCGGTCAATGTAGCCATGAATTAGGTAAGGGCTGTCCTCTATGAGCAAAACTTTTAGTAGAGGAAGGTGGGGGCAAAGGTTGCAAGTGTTAAAGGCCACCAGCAAAGAAAAACCTGCTCTGGTGAATTCAGAGGAAGAAGTTCCGTCAGTCTGGGCAATCTGAGAAGATTTCAGGGCAGGACTGACAGTTGGGCTGGGCCTTGAATGGTGAGGAGAAGTAGAAACAGGATGTCTGTTGGGGGAAGGACTTTAGAGGCAGACAGAAGTAAGTACCCAAAAGAGAAGCGGCGGAAGAAAGCGTGAGGTTTGTATGGCTGCATAGCCTTTGGCTGCAGTGAAAAGCATAGTGAGAAATAAACTAAGGAAGGTGGATTATGGTGATATTATTTATGTTAACTGTGAAATTTAGGATCAAAGGTGTACATTTAATTAGTGCCCAGAGAAAACTTTTAGAGGCCCTGAGAACTCTAATTTAAAATTACATATTTTATATATTCGGTTTTTTAAAATTAATTTAATCTTATATGTAATACATTAAAAAGACTTGTAGGATAAATAAACCCTTTGCCGTCGAGTCAATTCCAACTCATAGCAACCCCATAAACCCTGGTGGTGTAGTGGTTAAGTGCGACGGCTGCTAAACAAAATGCTGGCAGTTTGAATCTACCAGGCACTCCTTTGGAAACCCTATGGGGCAGTTCTACCCTGTCCTATTATAGGGTCGTTATGAGTCAGAATCGACTCAACGGCAACGGCTTTATGTAATACATAGAAACACATATATGAAATACATATACTAACTACATGATAAAACCAGTGTAAGAAAGTTCTGATTTTTCCCAGGATAACCACATCAATGCTTTTAAAGTATATCCAATATCAAGTTATTTGGAAAGCATTTTTTCTCCTTTTTTTTTTTTTTTTTGGTGTCTCTGCTTTGTTGGTATTCTAAAAGCATGGGCTTAATTAGCTATTAGGTAATTCAGCATTGGACTCAATCCTGGAGCAATAAGGAGCTCTGGTGGCACAATAGTTAAGCACTCAGCTGTTAATCGAAAGGTTTATGGTTCGAATCCACCTAGCAGCTCCACCACATAAAGACCTGGCAATTTGTTCCCATAAAGATTACAGCCTAGAAAATCCTGTGGGACAGTTCTACTCTGTCACATGGGGTCGCTATGAGTTAGAATCGACTCAACGGCACCTAGCAACAACAACAGGGAGATACTGCAGGATTTTGAACTGGAAATAGTAAGTTACAAAGCTAGGGCTCAGGAAGATAATTTTAGATGGCCTGGGGCGCAGAGAGTGGGAGAAAGACGTGGCAATCTGCTTCCTAAAAGATTTGCAGCCTTGGAAACCCCATGGGGCTGTTCTATTGTCCTATAGGGTCGCTACTTGATGCAACTCGATGACAGTGGGTTTTGGTGCAGAGAGAAACTGCATAGTTAAGACCACCTCTGGAAAATCAAGGTGAGAGCTAACGAGCCTGACCCAGGATAGTGGCAAGTGGGAACGTGCAATGAACAGATACGACACGATGTGTAGAGAGAATCGACAGGAACTGGCAAGTAGCTGGAGGCAGAGAATAAAGGCAAGGGAAGTCAGAGGCGATGATGATGATGTGACGATGTGATAACGAGAAGGGTGACTGGAGGGAAGAAGAATTTAGGTGAGAAACGCTGAATTTAAGGTTCTGATGGAATTTACAGGTCAAAGGGTCCACCACAAAGCTGTAAGTGTGAAAGCAGAGTTCACCAGAGATGTCAGAGTGTCTATGGAGATCTGGTGAGTCACGTCAATACAGAGGAGAAAGTGGGAGCAAGGGAGGATCATTATGAAGTGTCTACATTTACAGAGAGGAAAAGGGATACAAGTTGGATAAGAAGACAGAGGAGTGATGGTTATAAAGTTAGGTGAGAAACAACAGGACTGTGGAGCCAAGAGCAGCAATCTCAAGAAGGCAGAATTTGAATCACAGTGTAAAGTGTTGCAAAGGGTAGTAGAGGGTGTTACTCAGAAAAGGTATTTAGAGTGTAATCTCAGTAGCCTGATGAGGAAGAAAAGTCAGCTTTCAAATCATTACACCATGATGCAAGTTAATTGGTTAATATAACAGAGAAATAAAAAACAATACAACACAGAATTGGAATGTGGACAGTTCTAGTACAGAGAAGGGTAGTAGTAGCCCCCCTCCCCCCCACTCCCAAAGCCTTAGGCTCTGCATAAAATAGATGTCAGAAAATTGTGGGATTACTGAATTCTAGAAAAAATTAAAGCTGTATAAAAAATCTGTAGAAGAAAGAAAATATCTTTTCCAATGATTTACATACTGTAATGAGAGAGAAATTCCTGTACTTCATGTCACACATGTTAGAACATAGTGTGTGTAGCTTTAATGCCACAGAACTCTCTGCCTTGTTAATCATAATAATCCAAGCCTTTCCAGACAAGTTCTGAGAACTCTAGAACACTTCGCTATTTCCTATGTCCCACAATTTTGAGATTTTTTTCCCCCATCCAAACGTTCCTCAGCCATTGTCTTAACTGCTCTTAACTCTTTGTTGGTATTGCTCATCAAAGAACATTTCCTTTTCAATGTGTCGATTTGCACTTCAGGGGAACGACTTTCAGGGTTATATATATCTGCTGGAGATGCTGTTAAACGCTTTGGAAATTCATAATTCAGGACTCCAGATTTATGGACTATTACCTAATCTCTAAACCACCACAATTATATATGCAGCAGATGTTAGGTGGGAAAAAGCCAATAAAAGTCTATTGGTGTGGAGGAGACCAAAAAAACCCATTGCCACTGAGTGATTCTGACTCCCAGCAACCCTACAGGACAGAGTAGAATTGTCCCATAGGGTTTCCAAGGAGAGGCTGGTGGATTCAAACTGCCAACATTTTGGTTAGCAGCTGAATACTTAACCAGTCCACCACCAGGGCTGCATGTGGAACTGAGGCAGCCCCAAATAGTACCCAGGCAATAACCGACCTTGACCTCCTGTCTGGCTCAGGTGGAGTGTCTGGTTGGAGTCTGCCATTGCCCCTTCACTTCACCTGGGACCCCTGAGGCAGCCGCTGGCCTGGCGTTAGGGCAGGGGGGAGGAAGGGCTAGTAGTCTGGAGAAGGGGGCCCTGCTTACCCGACGACTGCTCTCCACGGCGGACAAGGGCGCCTTCGCCAGGTTAGCGTCTCGAAGGGCACAAGTCTGTGCGTTGGAGTCACAGGTCTTCGGGACTCCTGGGCCGCCAGAGGTACCGACGACCGCCAGGCCTGGCCCAGGGCTCATTGTTCTCGCTGTTACTAACAGTTACCGCTTCCCTATCGACTAAAAGCCAATCCAAATTAGGGAGGACATGAAACCAAACTCTGACTTCTGTGACGTTTGCGCGTGTGGTCCGGCAGCACCCATCGCGCTGTACCGATGACGCACTCGTGTTTCCCCTGAGCGGTTTGATGCGCGCCGGCGATACCCGAGAGAGAGTGGTCAGCTATGCCAGCGACCCAGAGTGGGTCAGAGGGCCTAAACTGCAGTCATCTAATAAGAATTATTTTATTGATTTGAGCTCCGAGGGTAAGTTTTTTCTGATATTCAGAATTTCAGATATTCTGAAAATTAGATGTGTCTTTGGTAACCACGAGCCACATGTAGAGTATGGGGGCAGAGCAGCGCCATGCAGAGCTATGTTGGAGTCTGGGACAAAAGGAAAAAAAGTGAGTACTATTGATCCTGTCTTAATTTAGATTTTGACATTTCGTTTGTCATGGATGTTTGTGTGTGTGTGTGTGTTTTTAAATTGCATTAGGATATTTATCTTGATTGCTGAGATTTTTGGCGCCCCCTTTACGTTTTTCATGGAGCAAGTGCCTCACTTGCCTCATCCTATACCCAGCTTGTGGTGGAGATGGGGGTGCTGGTACTAACCCCAAGACTCCAGGTGTACGGACTGACTTCATTGGCCAAGAGCAAGTGCAATATTGGCTCACCTGCTGAGTCTTCTATCTAGAAATCATTCCCCAGGTATATGATGGCTAAACTGAACCACTATTTGGCCAGTCTCTTCCAGCATTGAAGATTGTCAATTTTTTTAATTGATATCTCCCCAGCTCTGTTTGAACCTCTGGCATAGACTATCTCGTGTCTTTAATTATATGAATTGGCTCTCCTCTAGCTTGGGAAACTTCAGAGGCAGGATTCTGTCTGGGTCATCTTGATCTTCTGCCAGGACCTAACACTCTGCACTCAGTAAATGTTGATTGAATGAGTTGGTTTCTTGGCTCCAAACTTCATCTTGAAGTCTAGGAATTAAACGTAGCCTTTTGAAATCAGTTTGACTACTTGCATTAAAAAAGACTGGTGTAGGAATAGAGTATTAAGGAATGTCTTAGTGGAGAAATCAAGCACATGCTATTTTTGCACTTTCAAAAAATATTGGGGGGGGGGAGGTTAAAGTTCTCCAAGTTATCACAGAGAGAGTAATCATCCGAGAACTATTGTTTAATGGTTTTTGTCTCAGAAATAAAAATCAGATGAGAGGAATGGTCCACTGAGAAACAGTATAAAATAATTTACTGGTCTCTTGTCTCTCATATTTGCTGTAAAGATGTGTCATAGCATTTCAGAAATTATTCACAACTATGTTACATAGAAAAATGGAAATACAAACTAGTTCAATTTTGTACATTACACAAATATATTTAGAAACATGCAAACTATCTTTAGAGAACATCTTACAGAAGTAAACTACTCACCAGTTAATGTCTACTAAAATCACATTTTATCCTTTATATTTTTATAATTTTATTTATAACCTTTTTACCTTGCACTAATTAAGGAGAAAAAACAACAACAACAACTCCTTCTTAGGAATGGAACCGGGAAACTCATGCATTGTAAAATCTCAGTGTGTTTCTTCTTCAAGAAAAATTTACAATATAACTGATCACTAAGACTAAAATTCACCACCCATTTGTCAGTCTGTAGTACGGTTTGTTGGGACTTGCGTGTTGCTGTGATGCTGGAAGCGATGCCACTGTTATTTCAAATACCAGCAGGATCATCCATGGTGGACAGGTTTCAGTGGAGTTTCCAGACTAAGACAGACTAGGAAGAAAAGCCTGGAAGTTATACTTCCAAAAATTAGCCAGCGAAAACCTTATGGATCACAACAGAACATTGTCTGACATGCTTGCTTTGGGCACCTCATCAGGCAAGATCAATCTCTAGAGGAGGACAGTCATGTTTGGTGAAATGTAAAGGGCCAACGAGGGCATGGGAGACCCTTGATCAGATGGATTGGTACAATAGTTGCAACAATAGACTCAAACATGTTGTCAGTTGTGAACCAGGCAATGTTTTGTTCTGTTGTGCATAAACTCATCATGTGTTGGAGTTGACTAGACAGCAGGTAACAACAACAACAAAAGCTAAAATAATGCAATTCTCATTATAACATATCAAGCTAGTGAAAGTACGTTTTGGATCCTTCCCAGGCATCCTCACACTGGTGTTTTAAAATTTTTACAGCAGAAGTACCCCTAGCAGAATGAGTATAGAGAACTTGTACATCTAGAAGGTGGGATCATAGCCTGAGGAATCCAGTTTGAAATTTTAAAAATTCATGTAATATGTGCATTCTCCTTTATAATCAATCTGTAAAAATATAAAAATAAAACGGACCCCTAACTCCCATCAAATCGTTGAGTAATATTTACACTGAAGCAAGACACCCTGTGTTTATCCTGTGGCTTTAGCTTCCTGGCACACTGCCATTGCCTGCAGGGCTATGCATACCCCAATTTGAAAGCTCTATCATATCATGTATGTGGGTTTGGATAAGAAGAAAATGCCTTGTGCTCCAAGTCAGGGCATGTGGAGTTTAGTCCCTGCTCTGACATTAACTAGTTATTAGCCACCTTCAAGTCATTTAATGTCTCTGGGCCTCAGTTTCCTCAAGAATAAAATGAAACTGAAAGTTCAGTTTTAAAAAAATCTACTACTTAGTTATACTCTCCAAGACTGGTGGTATGTGTTGTTCACAGAGCAAAAGATTCTTTTTGAAATGGAAAACTTTTTCCAGTGAAATATATGTGAAAAAAGGTACGCCTACGATGTTGTTGTTTTCAGGTGCCATCCAGTCTGTTCTGACTAATAGTGACACTATGTACAACAGAACGAAACACTGCCTGGTCCTGTGCTGTCCTCACAATCATTGTCGTGCTTGAGCCCATTGTTGCAGCCACTGTGTCAATCCATCTCATCGAGGGTCTTCCTCTTTTTCACTGACCCTCTACTTTACCAAGCATGATGTCCTTCTCCAGGGACTGGTCCCTCCTGTTAACATATCCCAAGTATGTTAGATGAAATCTCGCCATCCTTGCTTCTAAGGAGCATTCTGTCCGTATTTATTCCAAGAAAGATTTGTTTGTTCTTCTGGCAGTCCATGTATATACAATATTCTTAGCCAACACCATAATTCAAATGCGTTAACTTTTCTTCAGTCTTCCTTATTCATTCTCCAGCTTTCGCATGCATATGAGGTGATTGAAAATACTATGGCTTGGGTCAGGCCCACCTCAAAGTGACCTCTTTGCTTTTTAACACTTTTAAGGGGTCTTTTGCAGCAGATTTGCCTAATGCAATGTGTCATTTGATTTCTTTACTGCTGCTTCCATGGGCATTGATTGTGGATCCAAGTAAAATGAAATCCTAAATAACATCAACATTTTCTCCCTTTATCGTAATGTTGCTTATTGGTCCAATTGTGAGGATTTTTGTTTTCTTTATGTTGAGGTGCAATCCATACTGAAAGCTGTAGTCTCTGATCTTAGCAAGCAAGGTTGTGTCATCTGCATACCACAGGTTATTAATGAGTCTTCCTACAATCCTGATTTCATGTTTTCTTCATATAGTCAAACTTCTCAGATTATTTGCTCAGCACAGCATAAAGTTTAAGTATGGTGAACAGATACAACCCTGTCGCACACCTTTCCTGACTTTAAACCACTTAGTGTCCCCTTGTTCTGTTCAAAACAATTGCCTCTTGGTCTATGTACATGAGCACGATTGTCCTCGTGAGCACAATTAAGTGCTCTGGAATTCCCATTCTTCACAATGTTATCCATACTTTGTTATGATCCACACAGTCGGATGCCTTTGCGTAGTCAATAAAACGCAGGTAAACATCTTTCTGGTATATTCTGCTTTCAGCCAAGATCTATCTGGCATCAGCAATGATATCCCTCATTCCAGGTCCTCTTCTGAATCCAGCTTGAATTTCTGGCAGTTCCCTGTCGATGTACTGCAGCATCTGCTTTTGAATGATCTTCAGTAAAGTTTTACTTGTGTGTGATATTAATGATATTGTTCGATAATTTTTGCATTCTATTGGATCACTTTTTTTTGGAATGGCACAAATATGGATCTCTTCCAGTCGGTTGGCCAGGAAGCTGTCTTCCAAATTTCTTGACATAAATGAGTGAGCAACTCCAGTGCTGCATCCATTTGTTGAAACATCTCAACTGGTAATCGCCAATGCCTTCAGTGCAGTTTGGACTTTTCCTTCAGTACCATCAGTTCTTGATCATATACTGCCTCATTAAATGGTTGAACATTGGCCAGTTCTTTTTGGTACAGTGACTCTGTGTATTCCTTCCATCTTCTTTTGATACTTCCTGAGCCGTTCAATATTTTCCCAGTAGAATCTTTCAATATTGCAACTCGAGGCTTGAATTTTTCTGCACTTCTTTCAGCTTGAGAAATGCCAGTGTGTTCTTTACTTTTGGTTTTCTAACTCCAGGTCTTTGCACATTTCATTATAATACTTTACTTTGTCTTCTCGAGCGGCCCTTTGAAATCTTCTGCTCAGCTCTTTTACTTCATCATTTCTTCTCTTTGCTTTAGCTACTCAACATTCAAGAGCAAGTTTCAGTGTCTCTTCTTACATCCATTTTAGTCTTTTCTTTCTTTCCTGTCTTTTTAATGATCTTTTGCTTTCTTCGTATACGATGTCCTTGATGTCATTCCGAAACTTGTCTGGTCTTTGGTTATTAGTGTTCAGTGCTTCAAATCTATTCTTGAGATGGTCTCTAAATTCAGGTGGGGTATACTTAAGGTTGTATTTTGGCTCTTACGGACTTGCTCTAATTTTCTTCAGCTTCAACTTGAACTTGTATATGACAATTGATGGTCTGTTTCACAGTCAGCCCCTGGCCTTGTAGTGACTGATGATATTGAGCTTTTCCATCGTCTCTTTCCACATATGTAGTCGATTTGATTCCTGTGGATTC